TTGAGGGACTAATATAAGGCAGAAATCAGGTGGGATCTCTCTGTAGAAGTGAATGGGCTGAACAAAATAGCGATAAATTCATTCAGAGGAACAAAAATGAAAATAATTTCTACTCTATGTATCAAAAACTGATGATGAATAAACATTCAATTAAGTATATAAAAGAAAAGTGGGAATCAGAGCTTAACACGACAATTTCAGATAAAGATTGCTTAGATATGTGGCAAACAGATCAGATCATCCACCAATTCACGGATATGCAGGGAGTTCACATGGAAAAATCTAATACGATTTTTCATCACCTAAAGTCAAGAATAGATATAAGGGTACAAACACAGGGTGTTGGTGGAACTGTGGGTCAGTGAACGCTGAACACTCACATATTCTGGAACTGTCCTAAAATTGTTCAATTTTGGAGAAATGTAAATGAAACTGTGAAGAAGATTCTGGGATATGATATTCCTATGTGGTATTATATCTTTGCAAATTGAACAATATCAAAGCAAGGGTAAAAGACGGGTATCTGATTAAGAATTTATTAATAGCTATCAAAAAAGTAAGTACGAGGAAATGGGGACAGGCAGACCCCCCTTGTCAAAAACAATGGACTCGAATAATAGAAGAAATCTACGTCATGGAAAAAACTGACACATCGTCTGAGACTTCAAGAAACTCAAATGAAAGAAAAGTGCAGGAAATGGACAAGATTCAGGACAAAAGACAGCGACAAAATCAGAGTCTAGATAAGTCATTTTTTCTTAAAATAAGTGCATTTGTTCTTGGATTGAGGAGGTAAAAGAGACATTTTGCCAATGGAACAAGATAATTTACATTTAAAATAAGAAAACACAATTGCATCGTCTTATTTCAAGTTCATATTATCTAATTATCTTATTTTAAGAGTAAAAACACTCATTCCATTGGCAAAGTATCTCATTTACCTTCTCAAATTAAGGTTAAATACAAATAATTTAAGACATTTTTACTTATCTCTAGATTGTTTTTCCAGTGTAAAGAACTAGATAAACTAGACGGGACAAAGGTCAAATAGAGGAATAGCTCCCAAGTGAAAGTTTTATTTTATATTTAGTTGAATGTGAAATGTTCATCTGCACTGTATATGTACAAAAAAAAGTAAAAAATACTAATAAAAAGTTAAATGATCAAAAAAAGGAATTGTAGGGGACCAACCAAGGAAAGTAGGGACATTTTGAATGCTTACTACTACTACTATATTACAAATAGGCCAGGGAAAACTATGGTTCCACAATGGTTTGATGCCCTACATACATTTGTGCTCAATGAAAGTGTTTTCTGTCGAGTCAATTTTTAGACGAGTTTGTGCCATGACCAGGTAAGCCAGGAGGTTTTCGTATTTAGTGCGGTATATTCCTCCTCTCTGCACGCTTTGGTCTCAGGGCTAGACATGCATTTCTCACCAACTGTAATGGAGTGCATTTCCTATTTGCTGGATTGGCTAGGCTATGGCACCGTGTGGATTTCATGGCTATGTGCGGCCATGTTGGATGGCTGTTGGTGGTGATGTTACCTGTTGGTTTGTTCCTAAAATAAAAACCTTACTGGACACTTCATGAAAACTTTGAAAGACCATTATCCTTGAGGTCAAAGATCCAGGACAAAGAAGGTATTCCCCCTGATCAGTAACGTCTGGGAAACAGCTTGAGGATGGTCGCACACTGTCAGACTGCAACATCCAGAAAGAATCAAGCCTCCATCTGGTTCTCTGTCTGCATGGTGGCATCATTGAGCCCTCACTCAGAATGATGGTTCAGAAGAACAACTGTGACAAGATGATCTGTCACAAATGTTATGACCGTCTGCAACCAAGAACAAGAAGAAATGTGGACACACCAACAACCTTCGCCCCAAGAAGCTGAAGTAAAAGCAGTGGTTGGATTGGCACTAAGTGCCATGTTGTGTTAAAACAAGAGAACATGGGGAAAAAAGTCCTTAATTGACGAATTTTGCTGAAATTTAAAAAAAAAGGTGTGTGTTGTGACGTCCAACAAATGATTCCATGTTGATGCACCACCTGGGAGTACAGCTATTAAGGTTATCCTGAGCTCTAGTCATGCTGCTATAGGCTTAGACTGCTGGAGGACAT